GGGGGGGGGGGGGAAATCTCCTTAATGATGAACAAACAAAACTGAAAACAAAAGTTAAGTGTCTGGGAAGAACATGAGCCAGGACAAACCCTGTACCTACAACATAACCATAATGGCAGCACACAGCAATCTCCCATCTGCAAACTGGGAATCAGCTGTTCAGGCAAAGATGCCCACACAGCTCAAAGGCCAGTTTTGTGACTGATTGTAGCTGGTGAAAAAACTACTTCTGTTCTTGAACAGAGACAGCTTCCAGGACAAAAATCCCCACTTCACCTTTCTTGAGATTAGACCATCGTATATTAAGTCTTTCACAAAACCACCCAGAAAGTGATCAGTAAATGTCTAAATATGAAGAACTAATTAGTTTTTTCAAACTACTACAGAATATTTTCTCAGAAAGACCCACTTCGATGATTTCAGATATAACACTGCAAAGGGGCAGTGCAATTCTTGTTTTGAGCAACAAAGATTTGCTCACATTTCTTCACAAGAAAACGTTTATCTGCTTCTCTGAAGACCTCATTCTTTTTGAAATTCCCTCTCCTCATAAATGAGAAGACAATTCCAGCTTTAAGGCTTACTTGCTCATATCCAACTGGAATACCCAGGTAGAAGCTACCTGAGCTTCTTGGCCTGGTCATTCTGTGCCACCCGTGAACAGGAAGAAAAATGTCATAAAAACTCGAAGTGTTTTTAATTCTTTTTATTAATGTCTCAAAACATGACAAATCAACAGCTACATTAAAAAACAAACAAACGAAAACCCAAAACCTAAATGGTTGTGAGATTATCCCAATGGGATTAGTTCTTTACATCAAAAAATGTAAACTGTTCTTTCCATGTAAGACTAACTCGTTAGGATTTTCAATCCTAGAGAATACACAACAGAAGATTCATCATAAAAGAATACTATCAGCTACAAGCCAAAATCGTAAGGAGTAAATACCAATAATGCAACATCCTGGTGTGAGTTCGCTCTTTTTAGAAGTCTTTTCCAAAAACAAAACTTCAAAGTCTTCTTCAGCCCCCAGATAAACAACAAAACTAGAAAAACTTTCAGTTGTCTGGTCAAAACTATAAAAATTACATTTTTAGTCAACTGCTGGGAAGCAGAAGTTTTCAGATACAGGACTGAAACAGTCTCAAAAGACCATAAAGATCAATAAGACTTTTTGTCTGTCTAGCAACAGTTGCAATCCATTTCACAGTCTTTTAAATATAATATGTATCCTACAGCCCATTGTAAAGAGTTCTACCTATGACCAATCCAACAACTGACAAGGCTGGACCAGACAGCTCAGAGACTACGTGAAAACAATGGCATACACTCAGGCAAGAGCCAAAGGCATAGCTTAAGACAATGGTGATAAGTAGCCAGAGAACTGATTGACTTTCCAGTACACTGAGTCCACTGCTAGCCTTGCAATCTGTTTCATTAAGGATACACACGAAGATTTCTTACTAACAAAATTAAGCTTGTGGGAAGGCGAAGGAGGCAGATTAGTCCCGCAAAGGTTTGTCTACCTGGTTCACAATCCCTAGAGATCTAAGGGTATAGTCAGACACAGAAAAATTGGGATGTAACAGACAGTATCTGGCCTAAGAGCTCAAAAACATCTAGTTGTATGCAGGCAGTAAGGGGTAAGCTAAATCTTGACCTCAATAGAGTGGCACAGAGTGATTCCACATTGTTAGTTATGGTATTATTAGTGTATTTCTTTCCACAGGTAGCAAGAAGATATAGAATAGATTCCTACTGCCACCTAAGATTCAAAGGAAAGAGAAGGAAAGTACCTCCACAAAACAACATCTAAGTAGGTAATCAGAAAGTCTTAGCCTGAAATAGTCTCAACATGCAAAGGCATATAATAATTCCTTTTAGGAACTGTACCACTACTGAACACTTAAGCAAGTCTTTTTTTGTAGAGTCAAGAAACTGGCCTGACTTGCCCTGGCTACATTAGATCTGTAGTGAGAAAGTGGGTCAGAAAAGACAGTAGATGGAGCAGGTCCATTTCTTTCAATGGCAGTCCAGTCAGACTGGATTCAGTAATATGAACGGCACCCTAAACTGTGAGAAAGCAACTTCAAAAATCAGTGTGCTAACTTGTGTTGCATACTATGGATTATTTTCTTAGTTTTGGACCCTACTTCTAAGAAGTCTGCCTTTGACAGTGTCTGATTTGCAAGATGCAAGGAAACTACCGGCCCGTGTTGGAAACCCACCTGGCACCAAAATGGACTTTAAACTAGTACAGATTCAGAGTGTGCAATCAAAATCCTTAAGTCAATAAGACATCGGTGCCTAATCAAGTGATCAATTTTAAAAGCAGTGATGTAACAGCTCTCAAAGCATGCAGGGCAAGGTAGAGATTTCTGACAATGTTTACAATGCAAGGAAAATATATCCATACTAACTACTTAGCAAAGAAATCCACATGTGGGTTCAAGTGGCACATGCTAGTTTCTTTTGTTTTGTGCTTTCTAGCCTACAGTCATGATTCAGTTGTTTTCTCATTTCTGGATTAAGACAACAGACCTCTATTCACCTTTCAGAATAAAACATGCATTTCTATCAATTTGGAGATTATCTAGTTCTAGCAAATAGGCTGCAATGAATAATACTAGCTTTCTAAGAACTTGCCCACTTGCTACAAAATAGCAAGAATAGTAGTAGCTTTACTCTCATGTGTACTGTACCCTCAGACTCAAGACGTTCAAGCATTCAGCCTCAAAGAAGAGTTGGTATATCTGAAGAAACAGCATCATGTATGAACAGTGACGCCTGAAAAACCCTGCATGACACAAATGTAAGATGACAACTTACTCC